TTGGTTAGTTGGTTTGGTTTGGTTTGTTTTTTTCCCCTTTGATGAGACAACAACAGAACTACTTCTGAGTCACCATCTCCAGGATTGGAGGCTGAGAGACTAACACCAAAATTATTAAGACTGAAACTTTATTGCATTTGAACTTGGAGACTTTTTTTTTCAATCCTCTGTCTCTCTAATGCCTGCTCAGCTTACTGTTGATTAGTACACTATCTCTCCCTGTTTATATCTTTGAAACTTTTTGTTTGTTTGTTTGGTTTTTTTACTTATTTGTTTACCTATTTTTCCCATTTTTTTTTCACTTCTTTGCTTTCCCTCTCCTCTCAACCTTTCATCCTAAATCTCACCACTGTTAATAATACAAGCTAGAAAATACTTAATTGCACACAGTACAGGGACAATAACAATACCAAGGGCAATGATGGGGACAGAAAAAATAGGGAAACCAGTTTCCCCACAGCAAAAAATTAGTACAGGAATCAGGGGGAAACGAAGAAAACAGATACTCAGATCCAGACTCCAACAAAATAAAGATAAACTATGCCAAAGAACCCAATGAAGCCCACAAGAATAATCTAAAAGAAAATCCTACAGGTAATCATTGAGCATTTTATTGAGATGATGCTGGATATGGTCAACCAAAACTTACAGGAGACACTCAAGAAATTCCAAGACAATAAAAATGGAGAATTAGAGAAAGCACAAAAAGAAATAAAAGAAACTACACAAGCACTGTATAAACACCAAAGTGAAACAAAGAACAGGAGTGATAAAGAGATAAATGAACTAAGGCTGAAAATAGACAACATTAAAGAGCACCATCTCACAGACAGAAATAGGATAGGCTTAGGATGAAAGGCTGGAAAAAGATTTACTAAGCCAATGGCCCCCGAAAACAGGCAGGAGTAGCAATAATTATTTCTGACAAAGTAGACTTCAAACTTACATTGATCAAATGAGATAAAGAAGGACATTCCATACTAATAAAAGGGGAAATAGACCTAAAGGAAAAAACAGTTATCGACCTATATGCACCCAATGTTAATGCACCCAATTTCATCAAACATACCCTGAAGGACCTAAAAGCATATATTAACTACAACACAGTGGTCGTGGGAGATGATAACACCCCATTATCATCAATAAATAGGTCATTTAAACAAAAAGTCAATAAAGAAATCCTAGATCTAAAATATATCATAGATAAAATAGACTTAGTTGATGTCTACAGAACATTTCACCCAACCTCTACACAATATACATTCTTCTCTGCAGCCCATGGAACCTTCTCCAAAATAGATCATATCCTAGGACACAAAGCAAGCCTCAGCAAATATAAGAAAATAGAAATTATACCATGCATTCTATCTGATTACAATGCAATAAAACTAGAACTCAACAACAAAAGAACAGACAAAAAACATGCAAACAGCTGGAAACTAAATAACTCACTGCTTAATGAACAATGGGTCATTGATGAAATAAAAGAGGAAATTAAAAAGTTCCTGGAAGTCAATGAAAATGAAAACACAACCTACAGGAACCTATGGGACACAGAAAAGGCAGTCCTGAGAGGAAAGTTTATAGCCATCAGTGCATATATTAAAAAGACTGAAAGATCCCAAATCAATGACCTAATGATACATCTCAAACTCTTAGAAAAACAAGAACAAGCAAATCCCAAAATAAATAGGAGAGACATAATAAAAATAAGAGGCAAAATCAATGAACTACAAACCAAAAAAACCATGCAAAGAATTAATGAAACAAAAAGTTGGTTCTTTGAAAAAATAAACAAGATTGACAGACCCCTGGCAAACCTGACCAAAATGAGGAGACAAAAAAACCAAATGAGTAGAATCAGGAATGCAAAAGGGGAGATAACAACAAACACCATGGAAGTCCAGGAAATCATCAGAGACTTCTTTGAGAATCTATATTCAAATAAATTTGGAAATCTTAAAGAAATGGACAGATTTCTAGATACATATGATTATTCAAAACTGAATCAAGAGGATATTACATACGTGAATAGATCTATAACACAAAATGAAATTGAAGCAGCAATCAAGAGTCTCCCCAAAAAGAAAAGTCCAGGACCTGATGGATTCTCTGCTGAATTCTATCAGACCTTTAAAGAAAAACTGATACCAACCCTACTTAAACTGCCTAACACATTTTATGAAGCCAGTATTACATTTATCTCAAAACCAGGCAAAGACACCTCCAAAAAGGAGAACTATAGGCCAATCTCCTTAATGAACATTGATGAAAAAATCCTCAATAAAATAATGGCAAACCGAATTCAACAATATATCAAAAAGATCATTCACCACGACCAAGTAGGCTTCATCCTACTCAAAAGCTCCTAGACACCATTAATAGCTATAGCAAGGTAGCAGGATATAAAATCAACATAGAAAAATCATTAGCATTTCTATACACTAACAATGAAGAAACTGAGAAAGAATATATGAAAACAATTCCATTTACAATAGCCTCCAAAAAATTCAAATACCTAGGTGTAAATCTAACAAAGGATGTGAATGACCTCTACAAGGAAAACTATAAACTTCTGCAGAGATTGAGGAAGACTATAGAAAGTGGAAAGATCTCCCATGCTCATGGATTGGTAGAATCAACATCATAAAAATATCTATACTCCCCAAAGTAACCTACATGTTTAATGCAATTCCCATCAAAATTCCAATGACATTCATTAAAGAGATTGAAAAATCTACTGTTAAATTTATATGGAAACACAAGAGGCCACAAATAGCCAAGGCAATACTCAGTCAAAAGAACAATGCAGGAGTTATCACAATACCTGACTTCAAACTATATTACAAAGCAATAACAATAAAAACAGCATGGTACTGGCACAAAAACAGACATGAAGACCAGTGGAACAGAATAGAGGACCCAGATATGAAGCCACACAACTATAACCAACCTGTCTTTGACAAAGGTGCTAAAAATATACAATGGAGTAAAGACAGCCTCTTCAACGAAAACTGCCGGGAAAACTGGTTAGCAGTCTGCAAAAAACTGAAACTAGATCCATGTATATCCCCCTATACCAATATTAACTTAAAATGGATCAAGGATTAATATTAGATCCCAAACTATAAAGTTGGTACAGGAAAGAGTGGGAAATACTCTGGAATTAATAGGTATAGGCAAGAACTTTCTCAATGGAACCCCAGTAGCACAGAACTAAAAGAGCATAGATAAATGGGACTTCATAAAACTAAAAAGCTTCTGCTCAACAAAAGAAATGGTCTCTAAACTGAAGAGACCACCCACAGAGTGGGAAAAAATATTTGCCAGCTATACATCAGACACAGGACTGATAACCAGAATATATAGGGAACTTAAAAAACTAAATTCTCCTAAAATTAATGAACCAATAAAGAAATGGGAAAGTGAACTAAACAGAACTTTCTCAAAAGAAGAAATTCAAATGGCCAAAAAACACATGAAAAAATGCTCACTATCTCTAGCAATAAAGGAAATGCAAATTAAAACCACACTGAGATTCCACCTCACCCCTGTTAGAATAGCCATCATTAGCAACACCAGGAACAACAGGTGTTGGTGAGGATGTGGGGAAAAAGGAACCCTCTTACACTGTTGGTGGGAATGTAAACTAGTACAACCACTCTGGAAAAAAATTGGGAGGCTACTTAAAAATCTAAACATTGATCTACCGTATGGTTCAGCAATACCCTTTTGGGGATATACCCAAAAGAATGTGATTCAGGTTACTCCAGAGGCACCTGCACACCTATGTTTACTGCAGCACTATTCACAATAGCCAAGTTATGGAAACAGCCAAGATGCCCCACTACTGACGAATGGATTAAGAAAATGTGGTATTTATACACAATGGAATTTTATGCAGCCATGAAGAAGAACGAAATGTTGTCATTCGGAGGTAAATGGATGGAATTGGAGATCATTCTGAGTGAGGTTAGCCTGGCCCAAAAGACCGAAAATCATATGTTCTCTCTCATATGCGGACATTAGATCAAGGGCAAACACAACAAGGGGATTGGACTTTGATCACATGATAAAGGGAAAGCACACAAGGGAGGTATGAGGATAGGTAAAACACCTAAAAAACCATATAGCATTTGTTGCACTCAATGCAGAGAAACTAAAGCAGATACTTTAAAGCAGCTGATGCTAATAGGAGAAGGTGACCAGGAACTAGAGAGAAGGTTAGTTCGAGAAGAATTAACTTAGAAGGTAACACACATGCACAGGAAATCAATGTGAGTCAACTCCCTGTATAGCTATCCTTATCTCAACCAGCAAAAACCCTTGTTCCTTCCTATTATTGCTTATACTCTCTCTTCAACAAAATTAGAGATAAGGGCAAAATAGTTTCTGCAGGGTAGCGACGGGGTGCGGGGGAGGTAGGGTAGGGGGTAAGGGAGGGGCTGTGGGGAAGGGGGGAGAAATGACCCAAACATTGTATGCACATATGGATAAAATAAAATTAAAAATTAATTAATAAATAAAAAGGCAAAATTCATGTAACTGAGGCAAGAGAGTGGCTCCTATGTATACATGTATGTACCCATTGATCTTGTAGTCTATATGGAGCCCATGTTAATTTACTTTCTTTTGCTATAAAGTGACTTAGCTTAAGTCACTTGACTTCTTTGTGTCCAAGGTAAGAGAAAAACATATTTCCCTGTCCCTTCTAAGATAAAATTGATGTAAATATAGAAACTGCTTCTAACAGTTCATAAACTCAGATTAAACGGTCATGGGCTTTTTGGGCTGTTATTGATAAAAAAAAAGACATATTACTGGAGACAGATTTTTTAAACAGATACAATTAAGGATTTCTCTTCACAAATTAAACAGTGTAGCAAATGGGAAAGAAAATTGCCATTCTAAAAATATCTTGTACATAATATTTATATCCTGCTGCATAAGCATAACGTACATTGTAGACGTAGAAATCTCTGGGTTGTCATGTTACCTACCATAGTGTCAAGCAAACCAACGACTTCAAATGAAAAATCTACACCCCCATCGGTCATTTCCTGTAGCACCTCATGGATAGGTTTTTTATAGTCTTGAGGATTGATACATTCAGTGGCACCCAATTCTTTGGCCTTTCCAAATTTATGTTTGTTAGTATCCACTCCAATGATCCTGGCTGCTCCTGCCACTTTACAGCCAATGATAACAGACAGACCAACTCCTCCCAGGCCAAACACAGCACAGCTGGAACCCTTAGTGACCTGTGTTTTCACAAAATGTAGAAATGAACAAAGTAGTGTTTGTTAGAAAGTTCCAAAGCAGTATAAAGTGTTAAGCTACTCAGACATGACTAGTCTTCTGTGAACATATTTTGACTACAGTTGTTTCATGTTTAAGTGCAGAGGGTTGAACTAGATCAGTGGTTCTCATCCTTTGCTACACATTAGACTCAGTTGGAACTTTACAAAACAGTAATATTCAGGTTATAGCTCAGGCTAATGAAATCACAATCTCTAGATAGCGCTCTTTCCCTGGGTTACTCTAATAGGAAACTCAGCTTAGAACAAGTGGACTGGTTGATATAAGATCCCTAAATGTCACCGATTCTAAACTTGAAGAGACTCAGGATAGATTAAATCCATTGATTGAAGCTTCAGTATCTTGTACATGAAGGTGGCACAAAGCAATTCACCGAAAGCTGTTGAAAAATAGGTAGAAGGGATGTGGGGAAAAGAGAGAACTATAGAGGGGATTAAGATGATCAATGTATAGAATATTGATGTGTGAATCACCATGGTGTAATCCCTTTGTACAATTAATATACAATAATAAAAATTATGGGAAAAAAATTGGGGGGAATGAAATGAGTGGATTTTACTCCAGGAGACTGAAAAGTAACTTAATCAACCTAGGAATAATTCATTCCTTCCTTGGCTCATTAACTTTTAGTAGTCACAGCTAGTATAATGAAAGCAAAATTAGCTGTGAAGCATACAAGAGTTATTCTTGGCTTAAAGCAAAGCCTAAACAGGATAATGTTGGTCGAGACTAATGGTATCTTTGTTGATCTTCATCCCTGATTTTTATTTTTATCACAAGCTGGACTAGAAGTTGTGATCCCCCTACCTCAAGTCCCTAAATGCTGTAATTACACGCATGTGTTACCACACAAAGTCTCTCCCTGATTTTTAAAAGAAAGAACAATATTGCAATTGAAATTAGTCCATACACTTATTTTGATATTACTGGGGTTTGAACCAAGGGTTTCACACTTAGGTAGGTGCTCTACAACTTGAGCCCCTCTGCCAGTTTTTGTTTGTTTTGTGTGTGTGTGTGTGTGTGTGTGTGTGTGTGTGTGTGTGTGTGTGTGAGAGAGAGAGAGAGAGAGAGAGAGAGAGAGAGAGAGTTGGATATTTTTGAGATAGGATCTTATGAGCTATTTACTTGGGTAGGCTTCAAACAAAGATTCTCCTGATCTCTGCCTCCTGAGTAGTTTAGCATTACAGGCATGAGCCCCTGTGTCTGGCTGGTTTATATTCTAATAATGAATTAAATACATTATCATGAGTCTCTTTGGCTACTGTTTGTAAGTAAACTTACTTAGACCACCTGCTACAACAGATGCAATTGTATAAGGATTGATGGCATTTTGGGCTCAAGTTACCAAAATTTGGAAAAGATGTGCTGTAAATTAGCTAGGGGCTGTTTAATTAAACCTAATCTTTCATTGCCAACCTTCCCTGTAGGTCAAAACCTGCTGTTCCAAGTACTCTCATTACTATATTCCCTAAAGGGTTTCTATTCCCTTTTTCATTCACTACTTGTGGCCTTGCTTAGAAAAATACATGACATGTGACTTTGATTTGAAAATGACAGTCAATTTTTCTGATTCAACAGGAGTTTTGAGAAGAATATTGGAGTCTCAGCTTGCATGATGATAAGTATGAGTATTTGGGAAACTAGCTTTATGTCTCTGAGTCTTCATTTCATAAAAATGGAAGGTACTCCCAGATTTTCAACCTTTTGGAAAAAAGAAATTTTAAAGGAGTTCTACTTGAAATGTACTCTTCTGAAGCATGTGCTCTGGGTGTGTGCACACACCTGTGTTATGCAGAGGAGAAGATGTAGCAACAATGACTAGAATGAATGCATTTGCTAAACTCCATTACTTACTGGAATCCACAGACTGGGTGACCCTTGGTTTAAAGGTGTCTCTACGGCTTTAGAATTACTGTGGACCCTAGTCCTGGGAATAGGATTCCATTGTCGTGTGCTCCTCCAAAGCAAATCCTGTATTATATTTACTTTGGCTACTCAGAAGCTAGCAGAACCCATTGTGCCACTGTAGAATGAGTGGTTAAGTGTGAGCCCGGTCCAAACGTTAGTGATCGCATAAAGAAAAATTATTAAAATGAAATCCCTGCAGTTTCTTATGAATCACCAGCATTTCTGTACGGTATTCATTGGCTTCATCTTGACATTTTTGCACACATATATAATTTACTTTGATTATAATCACACTCATGGCCCTCTTGCTGTTTTATTTTTGAAACAGTCTCATGATGTATCCCGGGCTTCCCTCCAACTTGTGGTGTTCCAGGCTAAACTTCACAAGAGTGGGATTATGGGGGTGTACCACCACACCCCGCTTTCAATAACATTTTCATATAAACAGGTGATTTTCTAGAACATGGATTCCAATTTTGGGGGGCTATTTTCTATCAATAACTGAATCAAATTCACTGCTGAAATCTACCAGGCCTTAAGGAAGAAATAATGCCAACACTTCTCAAACATCTCCATAAAAAGAAAGGGAAGGAACAGTACCACACATTCTATGCAGCCGGTATTGCACTAATCCTAAAACTGCACAAGGACACAACAAGAAAAGAGAATTATAGGCCAATCTCTTAAATGAAAATAGAAGTAAAACTCTAAATAAAACTTGTTAAAAAATCACACACCATGATCAGGTTTCATTCCAGGGATGCAGGGATGGTTCACATTTGCAAATCAATAAATGTAATAGAGAATATAAAAGGAATATAAAAATTGCATCATCATCTCATTTGATTCAGAAAAAAGTGTTTGACAAAATACAACATCCATTTCTCATAAAAGTTCTGATGAAACTAGGAATAAAAGGAATGTACATCACTAAAATAAAGGCTATTAATGACTAACCCATAGCCTTCATCATAATAACTGGAGAAAAACTGAAACCATTTCCTCAAAGTCAGGAACAAGACAAATGTGCCCTCTCTCCACTCTTATTCAGCATAGTCTTGGAATTCCTATCCAGAGCAGTAAGACAGGAAAGAGAAATAAAAGGAATTCAAATAGGAAAGGAAGAGGTGAAATTATCACTATTTGCTGATGACATGATCTTACAACTAAAAGACCTGGAAAACTCCACCAAAAACCTCCTGGACATCATAAACACCTTCAACAAAGAAGCAAGATGCAAAACCAATATGCAAAACTCAGTACCTTTTCTATATACCAACAATGAGCAGACTGAGAATGAATTTAGGAAAACAATTCCATTTACAATAGCCTAAAAAATACGTAGGAATAAACATAACAAAGGAAGTGATAGATCTCTAAATTGAAAACTGTAATTCACTGAAGAGAGAAGTTAAAGAATATGTCAGAAGATGAAAGATGTCCCATGTTCATGGATTAGGAGATTTAATGTCATACCAAAATCACTCTTTATAGTCAATGCATTCCTCACCAAAATTCCAATGACATTCCCCACAGAGACAGAAAAATCAAAGCTAAATTTCATACAGAAATACAAAAGACTGTGACTAGCCAAGGCAATAAAGAGTAATGCTGGAGATTCCACAATACCCAATATCAAACTACACTCCAGAGGCATAACAATAAATGCAGCACAAAAACAGACATGAAGACCAATGAAACAGAATAGAGGACCCAGACATAAATTCAAGCAGCTATAGCCAGCTGGTTTTTGACAAAGGTATCCAAAACATACAATGTAAAAAAGACAGCCTCTTCAATAAATTTTTCTGCAAAAACTGAATATCTGCATATAGAAGACAAAATAGATCCATATCTTTCACCCTGCACAAATATCAATTCAAAGTGGATAAAAGACTGTAATAGAAGGCCCAAAGCTTTGAAACTAATGCTGGAAAGAATATGGAATACAATGAACACTCAGGCATAGGGGATAGCTTCTTAAACAGAACTCAGTTGCTCAGCAATTAAAGGAAGAAAGGATTGACAAATGAGACTACATGAAACTAAAATCTTCTGCACTGCAAAGCAAATAGTCAACAAACTGAACAGGCAACCCACAGAAGAGGAGAAATCTTGGCCAGCTATACATCTGAAAAGGGCTTAATAACCAGAAAATACAGAGAGCTCAAAATACTAAATTCCCAAAAAATGAATGACCCAGTGAAGAGATGGGCAAATGAACTGAACGGAACTTTTTCGAAGGAAAAAGTCCAAATAGCCAAAAAACACATGAAGAAATGCTCAACATCCCTGGTCATAAAGAAAATGCAAATCAAAACCACATTAAGATTCCACCTCACTCCTGTTATACACATATAAATATAATACAAAATATGCTTCCAAAAGTGGGTTGTTACTGGAAACTAATGGAAGAGAAAAGACAAAAAGCATAATGAATAATAATGAAATACATCGTATCAGTATAAGAACAAGACACAGGAAGCATCCTGAAAACCACTGAACAATATACTCTTTTCCCTCAGGAAAAGAGTGAGGAAGAGTAGTAGAGAGTGTTAGACTAATTTAAGCATGATATATTTACAGGTAAAATACCAAGGCAAAATTCCCTCTAAAAATAAACAGATACCTAAACATGAAAGACAGTAACATAAAACAGGTCATGTTAAGGGGAGGGGGTCATGTTAGGGGAAGGGTAAATTAAGAGGGTACAGGAGGGTGAATACGGTTGATGTAGGTTCTATACGTGAATGAATATGGAACATTGAGCCAAATAAAGTTAATTTAAGAGGGAGGGATATAGTATGAGGGACAATAATGGAGGGAACGAAACAAACCAGACATGATACATGTATATTTGGAAATGTCACAATGAGACCCCTGTATAACTATTATATACTAGAAAAAATGTTTTAAAAAACCCCAACATTGAATCAACTTGACAAATCTATGAAAAAATCTGATTCAAGGGAGAAATTGCTTCCCTTTGTGTTCCTGACAGGTTGAGTGCAGCTGGCTTTATTGGCTATTGTCAATCCTACCTTGGCTACTTTGACTGCAGAGCCATAACCAGTTGAAAACCCACAGCCCATGAGGCAGACTTTCTCCAGTGGTGCAGCTGCATTGATTTTGGCCACCGAGATCTCATCCACCACTGTGTACTGGGAGAAGGTGCTGGTGCCCAGGAAGTGGTGGATGGGCTTCCCCTTGCAGGTGAACCTGGTGGTGCCATCTGGCAAGGTCCCTTGAGGCTTTCTCAAACTGGTCAGTGAGACACACAGAAACACAAAGAACACGAGACAGGGCACAACTGATGTGGACCCTCTTCTGCTGTGCAAGGAGACAATAAGAGACTTACTCGCTTTTCAGACAGAAGTTGCGTTCTGGGTGTTTACAAACTCTGCATTTACCACACTGGGGGTTAAAGAGTGGAATGACTTTATCACCTGGAGGGGGACAAAACAAATTTTCTGTACATTCCTATCCAGGAATTAAAAAGCAAAAACATAAGTTCACATGTAGAAGTGTGTGTCTTTGAGAAGGCTCCAAAAAATAGCATCCAATCACAGCTATGTTGGTCCCTGCCTGACAGCCCTGTTTATGCGTTGGGTTTATATGTGTTTGAAGATTCCTAAAGAGGATATGTGAAAGTGGAAAACAACATCGATTTTGAAAGCTATTTCCTCTGGTTTAAAGATTAACTTTTATTGCACACCCTGGTTTCCCCTGAAGACTTTGCTATATCATCTCACTTAATCTTTATTTAAACTTTAAATTTTCCCAGTGTTAAGTATAAATATAAATTTTAGTTGCAAACAGCCTGACATAGTTCCACTAGGTATTGGAGAGATCTGATATGTTGTACACTAGTTGCAATAAAACTGAAATGAATAAAATAATAAACTCAATAAAATAAATATTTTACCATAAAAATAGAAGAAAATAAATGTGATCATGGGTGAAATTTAAATGATAATGCTGATAATCAATTTTTGGCTTTTCAAAGTGACTGTGTTTACCTTATGAAGTGACTTCTTTTAAAATTATCTTCGCTTGAGAAAAGCTAGTGAAAATGGGAGAAAATATTCAAGCAATTCCGTTGAAAATCTCAACTCTCAGAAAAGAATTAAGTAATTTCTTTTAGAATTAGAACTGACTTTGAATGTTTTACATAATAAGTTATAAATTATCTATTTTTCCTATTATAAACAGAGCAGGGTAAAAAATATGGGTGTCATTTTATTATTAATTTATTCTGAGCTAAAACTCAAATTAGACTATTTCATCATTTTCTGTTCACAGTTTCATTATTTGGAAATGGGGAAGCTAAATCTACTGCCTAAAATGACCTTGTTTGAATTAAATGTATTTAGTTGGTTAGTTAGTTTGTTTGGTTTGGCAGTATTATGGTTTCAACCCAGGGACTGACCACTTGGTAGGTAGGTGCTCTGTACTACTTTACCACTTGAGCCACTTCCCAAGACCCATAATTTTTGTTTTTAATACTTCATGTTACCTATTCAGCAGACCGAAAGAAAAAAATGGTTGGCCCCTAACATTTAATAAATAAAGATTATGTGGGGATGGTGGCAGGAAATTTTCTATTTATGCATCTCTTACCTCTGAAACCATGTTAATATACAATGAAACCAATACAAAGTAAATATTAAAAATAAGATAACTAGTGCCCTTTAACTATGACTAAAGGTAACATAAATGACAATGCTTATGACTGGATATTTCTTGCTGTTTCTTTTCATTTCCTTCCGTATACTCTGTTTTATCTTCACTATGTTTAAGAAAGAAAGTCAGATTGGAAGAAGAAATGGTGGACAGGCTCCACTTCTCACCTAAGAAATGATCACCTTGACTTAGTCATAGCCTCACAGCCCCATTACATTCACTCAGCACAAAACAGTTTCCATTCACTGATCTGTAGACTCAGGATCTAGACATTAACCCTCCACCCATTTGTACCTGTATTTGGGTCCTGACAGAAGACAGTACTGAGCAATTCTAACATGAAAGTTAATACATTTTGTACTCCACACTGGAAGGCACCATGTTTCTTTTGACCCTCATGTACCCCAGGTTCTTACCTGGTGCCTGGTGTCTGGTAGAGAAAAAATAATTTTGAGGAAAAAATACATGGTTGTCTGAATACAACATGCCTGAGTCAGGCAGGGAGAAAGGAGAAAGGCAAGGAGGAAGCCCTGTGTGTAAGCTTTTGCGTTTCTCATTGCTTCAGTTTCCTCATCTGAGATGAATGGTCTTGGGATGCCAAACCTTACTACAAATCCCAAGTGTGAATTATGTACCTGATTTTACTGTAGTCACCTCTTCTCCAATGCTCTCCACGATGCCAGCTGCCTCATGGCCTAGAATCACAGGGAGAGGAGAGACAAAGGCACCAGCAATCATGTGGTCATCTGTGCGACAGATTCCAGAGGCTACCATCTATAGATTAATGAGAGGATGATTAGCTCCTGGAAAGAGTTTGACCCTGGAAGATTTATCTTACCCAATTTCATAAAATTTGTTTCAGAAGACTTCTAACTTCTTGTTAATAATTCCTATTCTTTCCAAAAATTACAGTACAACACCGAGAAAATATATACCCCTATCCACTTTTTTACAAAATATATATTCTTTAAATTTTTTTTCTGTAACTATATAATACATACTCTTTGGTCACTTTAAAAATAATGAACAATTTTAGCCTGTCTCAGCAACAAAGGTAATTCATTATCTGGAAAACCATATAAAACGTACCTCTTAGCAGATCATTGGTTGAATGTTCTCTCAACTTTTTTTTTTTTGAGTTATGCGGTTTGAACTCAAGACCTCATGCTCGCTAGGCAGCATGTGCTCTATCACTTGACACATGCTCCCAGCCTCATCTCTGAATTTTTTTAATCTAAAATTAACTAGAAGTTGAAAAAAGTTTCACCTTAATACGAACTTCATGGGCCTTAGGGGGTGCGACCTCCACCTCCTCAATGGAAAGGGGTTTCTTTATCTCCCACAGCACAGCTGCTTTGCATTTTATTACCTGGAAAAGAGACAGAAGGATGTTGCTCTTGAAGTCAGGGCTTGTCTTTTCTCCTTTATTCATACAACATCTACCCTCATGTCTAATGAATGCTCCTAGAAATGGACACTTCCAGCTGAGAATAAAAATACCTTTTAAACTGTGTAAAGAAAGAACATAAGATCAGGGAAACATAATCAAATCTAAGACTCCTCATAAACCAGAGCATATTCTTTTAGGCCAACTTAGGTGTTTTTTTCTCCCCTGAAGGTGTTTTTTTACTGTTTCTGAACACTATATTGAAACTGTTTTTTTGCCCACAACAGTCAGCCTGTACATGAAGGTCTAAGTTATTATTTGCTGTTATTATGATGATGATTATTACTTGTGGAGCTGGGAATTTAACCCAGTGCTTGCTAGGTATGAAATCTATAACTGAGTTACACCTACTTTTAGATTTTTGAGACAGGAGTTACGTATGTAGCACAAGTTGTCCTTGAACTGGCTAAGCAACCCAGGCTAGTCTATACTCAGGATTCTTCTGCTTGAGTCTCCCAAGTGCTGGGATTATAAGCATGTGCCACCCTGCCTGGCTAAGTTTTCATTATTTTGTTGGCAGAGGAAGTGTGAACATAAATGAAGGGTTATCACAGAGCTAAGCTATAGACATTGTGCTTACGTGTATTGATTGCCTGTTACATTTTTCTTATTTTAATTAATATGAATGGTTTATACTTTTTTTTCTAAGAATTCACTAGTTTATGCTGAGTAGTGGCAAGTTTATTTTTTCTTTTATCTACTGACTTTTCCTTTGAAATATAATGTGCAATTATAAGTACTAACCAGCAGTGAAAGAAAATAAAATGAGGTAGAATAAATACTAGCAATGGGCCATTGATTTGATTTCCATCCAGTTTTATGGATGTGGGATTGATGTGTCACACAGTGTATACAGAAACCTCAGACACTTTCAATGGAGTTGTCATAGTGCAATATTTTTCTGCGTGACCCATGCCTAAACCATCAAGTATTTCCAGCATACATTTACTGGAAACAGAGACACAGGCTTTGGTAATGAAGCAATTAATCAGCATGAATTAATTATATTGAACAAGTGTATGCATTTCCCTGAACTTTAAACACATTGAACAAGTATCAATTTATGGAAAACATAGAAACAAATACATGTGCTCCAGTGCTAACAATGATTCCACTAAAATTAGTATTAGTTTTCTGTAAAATATAATTGATTTTTGTAGGGAGAAAGTACTGTTCTGTGAATTTTCTGTGCAAATGTTGTGAATTGTGCCATCATGTGCCCTTTTAATCAGAATTTGTATGTTGACAGTCTTTCTTAACCTTGAAGAATATAATGCTTTGTAACTAATATGCTTTTTGTCAGAGATCTTATGAAATGCTAAGACGATATGTCAAAGTACTCTGAGTCAAATTTCTCTCACAAAACTCTTGTCAGTCTTAACGTTCTTGTGTTCATAAGAATGTGACTGCAAAGAATAACACATTTAGTTATGCTTTCTTAACATAAAAGTAGTTTTTTGGTTAAAGACCTTTCTAACTTTAGATATACAAATTGGTCACAATTGCCTATCACTTTCTACTAATTTATTATATAGGAAATTAAGACCTTAATAGATCCAGGTTCCATATTCTTGTTAAAGATATGGGTATAGTTTATTTCCATTGCAATTCATATTACATATTAGAGCATATTTTGCGTATTGCATTTGAGTATGTATTATTTCTACTTTAGATACAAATTTTAAATTATTCATACAAACTATATCCTTCAATATAAAAAAATTATAGTATATTTCCAACAGTAGAATCTGTTTCACTTACCTTTCCTGCTGTGCTCATGTTGAAACTGTCTTCTTTGCTGACCAGGAGACTGATGATTCTCTGTGGAGTTCTTCCCTGCTTGAGTACAAAAAGCCTATGTCACACAGATTTTATTCTCATGACTATCTTATTCTACAGGTGATCAGGGTCTTTAGCCACACCCATAAGCTAATTCTCACACCAAGTTAAGTAGAAAGCAAAGGGCTCTAAACTGTCATGTAAAACCTATATTACACCTAACATTTTTCCATTAAGTTAAATATTTCCTCCTCCTCCTCTCCTCCTCTTCTTTTTCATCCTCGTCCTCTTCCTCCTCATCATCCTCCTCCTTCTTCTTTTCTCTCTTTCTCTCCCTTTCTCTCTCTCTCTCTCTCTCTCTCTCTCTCTCTCAGGTCAGAGTTCTATTTTCCTTTGCCTGCAACTTTGAATCCCTGTGCTACAGTCAGGAAGGAGGAGGAAGGAAGGAAGCAGGGGAGATTTAGTAAGACACAAAGAGATTCATGGGCCAGAGGAATGTGTTTGTTCTACCGTGGCTACAGTAGATTTCTAAGACACATCTGTCTGATCCCCATATTCTTTTCACCACTTTACTAAAAGTCAGTGGGGAAGATAGACTTTAAATCATGAAGCTGCATACCTACAGATGTAGCCCCCACATTTTATAAAGTTTAAGAAAAACAGCACAGATCAAAAGAGTTTTAGAGATCATCCCATTCAAATCCCTCATTTTATAGCCTAAGGGTTTGGCGTGCAATGTGCTGAAGTTTACTTAAAACATATTTAGAAAGGAAAATTGTGGTTCTTATTTTGATGGTACATAAAGTCAAATAGCTTTCAAGTATTGTGAGTTGAAGTGGGGTATTTGTAGGGCAATGTTTTTAGTCTACCCAAATTCAATTCTATAAGTCAAGAACGTACTTAATATTTTACTTTGACTACGAAGCCAAATATGGTGAGTTAAAGTGATCTCCTTTTCCCCCAATTTAGAAAATGTATCTGCATCTTTGACCCTGTGTTTGAACAGTTTCAATGTTTGTTCATAGTTATCCCTGTGAAAGATCTTAGAAATAACCCTGCAGAAAAGCCACAAAACAAAACCATACAGCTATTCCTAGCAGTGTCTTCTGAGTGTCAGGCTAAAAGAATCTAAATGTTTGCCAGATATTTTGATGAAAGGCTATAGATAAATGTAATGAAGGACTAGCCACAAAAATACCTTTAAGATGGCACAAAACCAAAAGTGTTACACTTAAATTTAATATAATACAAAACTATATGAATTCCATAATTTTAACAATATGAAAGATAAGAAATGTAAAATATGTACCAGGGAAAAGTATGCTCTACAAATTCAAATTAATTATTTAAAGATGGAAAATTTTTCAAACCGTAATATTATTTACATTAACTATCACTAATAAGAGCCACAATTTATTAAATGATTATTCGATTAAGTACTTTAATTATATTGTCAAGCTTAATTCATTTTCTTTGCAGTACTGGGGTTTGAACTCAGGGCCTATGACTTGAACCACTCTACCAGTCTTTTTTGGTAGTAGGGTTTTTTCAAGATAGGGTCTTGCAAACTATTTGCCTGGGCCAGCTTTGAACAGTGATCCTCCTTATCTCTGCCTCTTGAGTAGCTAGGATTACTGGTGTGGGCTATCAGTGCTTGACAACAAGCTTAATTCTTATAAGGAAATTGTTATCATGCATCTCAGTTTCTGAAGAAAATGAGGAGAAGAGAGATTAGAGAATGTGAGAGAAGAGTCAAGGCACATAGGGAAAACATTTCAAACTATTGCATAGATATTGTAAGTCATTCTATAATGGGTAGTGGCTTTCTGAATACAGCTCAAATTGTTCTGGAAATAAAAGTAAGAATTGACAAATGGGATTGCATCAGTTGAAAAATTAAGGTGAGGGAATATGTTTGATGGATATCATGTACCTATACAAAATAGAAAAACTTCTTGCAATTGCTTGAAGTTGGGTGGGAAGCAGTTTGAGGGGGAGAGTTGGTGGTGGTAATTTAACCAATGTAAAATATAAGCCTATTTGGAATTGTCACAAAGACTCCTCCCTGTAAAATTAATATATCCTAATTTAAATTTTCTTAAATTCTCCTGAGCAAAAGAAGCAATTACCATAGTGAATAGACAGCCTATGGAAGGGGAGAAATCTTTGCTAGCTTTTCTTTCTACAGAGGATCAATATCAAGAATAAAATGAACTAAAAAACTAAACATTAAACAACTGAATAAGTCAATCAATAAATGGAAAAGTAACCTAAACAGATACTTCTCAAAAGATGTATAAATGAAAAATGGTTCAACTCCTTACTCATCAGGGAAATGCAGACCAAAAGTACACTGAGATTCCATCTTACCCTAGTCAAAATGGGTATAGTCATAAATAGAATAATAAATGCTGGTTAAGGATGTGGAGAAAAACAAACTTTTATCCATTTTTGGTAGGAATATAAAATAGTAGAGTCACTATGGAAATCAGTTTTGAGGTTCTTCAAAATCTAAAACTAGAATTACCATATGATCCTGATACCCACACTTGGGAATACACCCAAAAGAATTAAAGTCATTGTATAGTAGAGACACCTACATAACTGTATTACTGTGGCACTTTCACAATAGCCAAGTTACGGAATCAGTGTAAGGGATTGTCGACATATATACTTCTTCCTTTCTTATTTGGATCCTTTTCTTCCTCTTACTAATTTCTCTGGTGAAAATTGTAGTAATATATTGAGTAAGAGTGGTGAGAGTGGGAACTCTTGTCTCATCCCTGATTTTAGAGGAAATGTTTTAAGTTTTTCACCAATGAGTAGGATGTTGTCTGTGGGTTTGTGTTATGTAGCCTTTATTATGTTGAGGAATGATTCTTATTACCTTGTTTACTCTGGCCTTTTATCATAAAAACAATATGTTCCCAAAGGTCTTGAAATTTTTGGTTAGAACTTTTTATTTTTCCCTTTATTATTAATGTCTGAATCTGATAATTATTGAACCTTATTTTCAATCCCTAAAAGTCTTTTTTCTGCTTAATTTGTCATGCTGAGGAGGATTTCAACTGAGTTTTTTGCTTGATTTACTGAGCATTGAAGTTCCAATATTTGTATTTGTTTCTTTTTAATACATGCTATTTTTTTATTGAATTATTTTTTTGGAGCCTGTATTGTCTTCCTTAATTCATTCACCTGTTCATTGCTGTTCTTTTTGAAGTCCTTTATCAGTTTTGAAATTTGCTTTTATAATTATCATTTCATCCACTCTAAAATCCTTAGATTCAGTTATTAAGGAATTGTGTCATTTTCATATTTCATATGTTTTTATGTTGACATTTATTCATCTGTTAAAATGGATATTTCTTCCACTTATAAGTGATGGTGTTGGTGAGCAGGCTTCTTTGAGGACTCCACATACACTTATTGCTATGCAATCTCCTCCCCTCCCCAGGGAGCTGGGGTTGGAGTTACAGATAGCTTTCTATTTTTCTATAAGTTGCCTTTGTGTTTCTCTGTAGTTTTAGACTCCCTATCACCACTTTCTTGATTTCCAGTTCTCTTTCTCTCCTTGGAATATACTTTCTCTTTTGTTGTCCTACCTTTTCTCATTCTCAGAGACATGCAGAGGAAATTTATAATCTGTCATCCTACCCCAGAACTCAATTTGAATTGATTTCTTAAAAGAGAAGTTCTACAGAGAAAGCAGTGTTCAAGAAAACTGGCAGTAAGAAATGAAGAGATGAACAGCAGTGTGCAGTCTGAGAATTGCATCAAAGATTAATTTACACGGAATCATAAAGATCGCTTTCAGTCAGAGCCAAGAGAAAAGAAGCTGAAGAAAAACATGGAATTTTTCAGACAGTTTTGTAAGCAATCATTGTGGGAGGGGTGGATCTTCAGCAAAACTTTTGGATAGCTAGTTACGACAAGAAAGGGTTGGAAATGCTGCCAAGGAGAGGTTTCAGTGAAGGGAAAGAAGGAACAAAAAAAGAGAGCTGGTGGAAAGACTGTCATAAGTGAGAGTTTCTTTCATGGACACTAGTGACCTGTGTGAACTCTGGGGCATCACGAAAGCTCAGTGAGAATGGAGCTTCTGATGATATTGAAGAAGGGACAGCCTGTGCAGACAGGGTCCCTCCAGTACTGAAGAGACAGGGAAAACATTCGGCTTTCTTAAGTAGAGAAGCCTTGTGTGTGATGACTGGACAGAAGGAGAGATAGATACAGATTGGCATAAATGAATACAAATGCACTGTAACCTATTTATCTATTATGTACCCCAGCTTACCCTTTTGTAGTATCTCCTATGCTCCTGGGATTGTGACTCTCAAGACTCAATTTCCCAGACACCCTTGAAATCTGGATTCCCTAACATGTCTGCCAATAAGAAGTAATAGAGATCCTTGAAAACAAGAGGAGATGAGAAAGAACTTTCTTACCTTTTCCTTTAGTGTTACTTCAAGTCACATAGTTGGCTCCATATGACAGTTGCTTTGTGCTAAGTACCACACTTGCCTCACTCCCTCAGATAGTACAGCTATTGATACAATCTTGCCAAAGATTCTAATGTTCTAAATGACCTCATAATGCCTTTTGTGACCTTTTAGCTTTGCAGCAAATCTGTTACCGACTTTCTATATTCAATCTACATTGTCTAAAATACAGTTTTTGCTTTTCCTTACTAGACACATGAATATAGTTCTTGACACCAGCAGTGGTATCAAAAGTAGACTCTCAATCAAAAATACATGTTTACTCAGATTGAGTAGATTTATTTTTAATAGTTGTAATTTGCTGAAATAGCACTGGAGAGTGTGTGCATATGACATTTGAGAAGAAAAATCCAGAAGAATCAATAAAGAGGAAGTCAAGAGAGATGAGTAGCAGGGTCCAATTTCTCTTTTCCATTGTTTATATGATAAAACCCTGCTCTGAACTGCTTTACTTACCCTCCATTTACCTTCACACAGGCATTTCGAGAGCACCTCCAGGGTGTT